AACTGGGAGTCGCCGGCCGTGCGGACGGCCGGAGCTTCCGGGTGCGCCCTCAGGAAGAGGAAGAGCCACCGAACGTGCGGCGGCTCCTCCTCTTCCGGACCTCGGAGACGGCGCAATTAGCCGTCTGCCGAGGCCCTTACTTTTGCTCCAGGATTTGCCGGAAAATCTGGAACACTCCAGAGTGATGCCAGACAACTGTTTACATATATGTCCCAACTGTGTCACCTCCTTTTGAGGTCACAATGGGGCACTCAGCCATGTGATTAACACTATGTGCCTCATTTTAAAATTTAAATGAATGATTTGCACCAGTGGCAGCAGGGTCAGGAGACAGAACAGGAAGCATGTGTAGACAGCTGTCCATCATCACTACAGAGTGCAGGTAATGGGGGAATCCATGGCAGCTCCAAGGCCAGAATACTCTGAGAGATGTATTCCAGAGTATTCTGGCCAATGTAAACTCAGGGCTAAAGCAGATGACCCTGAAGAAGTCCACATTTGGATCCTGATCACACCAAGACTGCAGTGGCTGGATGGCCAGCTCCCAAAGCAGGCCACCAATGCTGTCCCAAATCGGCTGCCAGCAGAAGCGGATTAAGGGCCTCTGCATATTAGCCCAAAGGGCTGGTCTGGAGGCAGAGTTGGGGTGGGGCAGCCGCACGCCAACCTCCCCAACTCCACACTGATGCTGTCCTGATTCCATGCACTGTTACACATGGAACATGACGTCAGGATGCCCTTCCGATGCAGGGTTCAAACACGCTGTGCTGAAAATGGTGCAGAAGAGCTGCGCACCAGCTCTTAGGACAGATTTTTGCCACCCCTAAAAGGAGTGGCATTTTGCTGCTTTTTTCAGGGCAGCAAGAGCGAGGATTGGGGCCAAGGTGTGGGGTTACCATGGCCCTGATCCGCTGCTTCCCAGGGTAGTCCAGAGTTGCCTGTCTGCACTTCCCCTATATCTACTCCTAAAACAGCTGGTTCTTGCTATCTGGTGCAGCCTCTGTGCAGTTTCCGGTTGCTTTGGAGGTGTGTGTCATGTGAACAGCACATCCCCAAAACATCTGGAAGCCATTTTATTTGGCCCATCTGTTTCAGGCCTAAGTTAAGTATTACTTTAGTAAGGACCTCTGCAGACTTTACACAAGTGGTGGGGGTGGCAATGTCCAAAAGAGAAACCATGGAAACACTCCTGGAGATGAGTACAACATACACAAAACATTCAGTCAAAGAGGGGGCATAAGCTGAAGGGGGATGAAGGGAGGCATGATTGTCCCTTGCTGGCATCTGCATGGACACACCTCTGCTCTGATGCCCTGTCCTGATAAAGTGCTGCACGTATTAATGTGTGCAGGTTCACAGGGATGGCCATGCAATGCACCAGCAATGCACACCTGTGAAGGTGCATAAGTATGGTTGTGGGGACAGTAAAAAAGAAAAGTTCCCAGAAGTATGGCTTGAAGTTGAGCTGTGCTATGTGGTCATGTCATGCACACTCCAGCAGCCTTTGGAGCTGGCAGTGTAGTTGATAGGTTTCAATGTAGCTTTTCAAAAGACAGCTTTAAGCCAACTTTTTCCTGTTCCTCTATTTCGCCCCTAAGTTGAATATAAGAGCTAGTGTGGTGTAGTGGTTTTAGAGTTGGACTATGACTCTGGAGACTAGGGTTCAAATCACAGCTCAGTCATGGAAACTCACTAGATGACCCTGGGCATGTCACACTCTCTCAGCCTCAAGGGCATCCAATGGCAAATCTCATCTGAATAAATCTTGCCAAAAAACAACAAAAACAATGATAGGGTAACCATAAGTCAGAAATAACCTCAAGGCACACAACCATAAGTTCAGTTTATTTACCTAAGGAGATTACTACAAGTGGTTTTTATTTTATTTTTTATTACTCAACCAGTTTTTTTAGAGTAATTTAACAAGTATTTTCCATATTGTTTAACAATAAAAATCAGTGATTTGTATTTCTTCATATCTTGTATCAGTAATTCTTCTAGTACGTTTCCTTCCTACAGCATTTATTCATTTGTCTAGCTATACCATTCTTGTTTACTTTTGCAAGATTACAAAAATACTAGAAAACTAAAGAAGTAACTTTATTTCCATGTTGTTTGTCATTATTTCTTTATACCAAGTTCATTTCTTTCATGTCAGTCTATTATTTTCTTAACTACAAAGTCAAATAACACACTACATATGGGTTTTAAACCACAGTTATAGTAATAAAAATAGTATTTGGTGATTCTCATCAAACTTTGTCACCTCTGACCTACAGCTACCATGAATGCCAAGTATGGTTATGGCATCTTTTTTTCACTGATGAGGGAAACCTGTCATAACTCCCAACTGTGTTGCAATCTAAGGAATTCTCAACTGCAAAACATCATGCCATGGTAGTTGTGAGATTGGATTTCAATGTAGTGTCACAGTGATCTGCTCTTTCCCCTGTCCTGCCCTCATTATTCCCAATCAGCCTGATTTGTTTTTTGTTTTTTTTTGTATTTCTTTCCCCTGACAAAAAGACTCCCAGATTGCCAGAACTGCAGAATTGATTTTTGAAAAGTAAAAATAAATAAATAAATAAATAAATAAATAAAATACAATGAAAGGCATACCCTATACCCTATAGGGCAGGGAGGCAGGGAGAAGGGGGAAGAGAGTGGTGACAGCAGCAGTCCCAGTTGTACAATTGCTAAGACATGCAATCATGGCTGCTCACAAAGCTGTTATGTTTGCATTTTCATCAATTTGTGTGATTATTATTATTATTATTATTATTATTAAAGTTTATTTCTAAAGTGCTGTCAATTACACAGTGCCATACAAAGATATAATCAAATCATAAAATAGAAATAAAAACCTGGCAAAGGCATACAATCTAAAAATACAAAAAATAGGTAAAATAAAATAAAAGTTAAATTAAAAGCAGAGTACATTTTTAAAAAAACTAAACAGCAACATCCACTGTCAGCCCAAATAACAGAAAGAATAAATGTATATTAGACAGTGCTTGGGAATGTCTTCCTGAACAGGGTGGTCTTTAACTTGGATTTAAAAGTAGAGAAAGAAGTAATGACCCATGTTTGAGGGGGAAGAAGGTTCTAGGAGTGAGGGGTGGCAAATGAGAAGGGGTGAATCCAGGATGAGGCAGTGGAGATCCTAGTTTGGGACAGCAGGCCTTGAGAACTAGAACAGAGGGTACGGGTGGGAATGTAAGGAGGGAGAAGTTCAGATAGGTATAGAGGGGCTAGCCCATGCAGGGCTTTGAAAGTTAGCAACCAAAGCTTATATTGGATATGGAAGGGAAAGGGGAGCCAGTGAGGAGAAGATAGCAAAGGGGAAACATGGTCAAAGCTGTGAGTGGAATTAATGATGTGAGCAGCTGAATGTTGGACAGAAATTAAAGGGCGAAGATGAGAGAAGGGAAGCCCAGCTAGAAGGAGATTACAGTAGTCTAATCAGGAAACCACCAAAGTGTGGATCAGAGTCTTGGCAGTGGAGGCTGAAAGAAAAGGATGAATTTTGGCAATATTATAAAGGAAGAATCTGCAAGCTTTGGCTGTGGCCTGAATATGGGGAATAAAAGACAGAGAGGAGTCAAAAATGAAACCGAGGCTGTGGGCTTTCTGGACCAGATGAATAGAGGTATTGTCAACAGAAACAGAGAAAGAGGATTAAAGGGAGGACTTAGGTGGAAAGACAAGAAGCTCTGTCTTGGACATGTTGAGCTTCAAAAGCTGATGACGCATCCACAGAGAGACAGCTCTGAGACTTGAAGAAACTTGCTGTTCAAGCTTTAGAGAGAGATCAGGGGTGGAAAGATACAGTTGAGTGTCATCGGCATACAGATAATAGGAAAAACTGTAAGAACTGATAAGTTTTCCTAAAGACAAGGTGTAAAGAGAGAACAGTAGGGGACCCAAAACAGCCCTGGGGAACTCCAGCAGATAAGGGAATAGGGGACAAAGTCTGACAACATGTGACCACTTCAAAAGATCTATCTGACAGGTAAGATTTAAATCAGTTAAGAGCAAAGTTCAAGAACTCAATGTCATAAAGTATATCAACTAGAAGACAGTGATCCACGTGTCTAATGCCACAGATAAATCAAGGAGAATGCGCACAGAATAAAGGCCATTTGCTTTGGCCCATAAAAGATCATTGGAGATCTTTGTTAGGGCCATCTCTGTAGAGTGCTGTGGGCAGAAACTGAACTGAAAGGAATCAAGGATGGAGTTGGCTTCAAGAAACTCAAGACAGTGAGAATAAATGACCCATTTCAAAACCTTAGAAAGAAAAGAGAGGAAAGAAATTGGACAATAGCTGGACAAAGAAGAAGGGTCAAGAGAGTATTTTTTCAAGACAGGGGAAACAAGAGCAAGTTTAAAGTCCGAGGGAAATGAGCCTGTAGAAAGAGAGAGGTTAAAGATAGAAAGAAGCAAAAGAATAAAGGAAGGGGCTATAGAGATTAGGAGACAAGGGGGAATTGGATCAAGAGAAGAAGTTGCAGGTTTGGAAGAGTAAAGCAGCGTAGAGATTGTAGCAACAGGGTTCATGTATAAAGTCCTAAGTAACCTCTCCTGGCATAACCCACCTAAACTTGATGGAAATATCATTGATATACACTCTGATAGTTGGCAGATTCAACCACCTTCTCCATATGCAGCTCATGGCCATTAAGGTAGGTTGGGGAAGGAGTTATGATTTTTGCAATAATGTCATAATCATAACTAAGTAGGGATTATGGAACAATATGAAACAGTTTGTTGTTTTCTGGTTGTTGCTGTTGTGTGCCTTCAAGTCATTTCTGACTATGGCGACCCTAAGGCGAACTTATCACGGGTTTTTCTTGGTATGTTTCTTCAGGGTTTGTGTGTGTGTTTTTTGTTTTTGTTTTTGTTTTGTTTTTTGTTTGTTTGTTTTGTTTTGTTTTGCCATATCTACTCTCTGAGCCTGAGAAACTGTGACTTGCCCAAAGTCACCGAATGAGTTTTCATGATGTAGCAGGTATTCAAACCCTGGTCTTTAGAGTCATAATCCAAGACTCAAACCACTAAACCACACTGGCTCTCTATGGATAGTAGTTATGGATGAGTAAGGAGCTTATCACATTACCTTTTAAACTGACATCACCCCCATGGGATGAAGCCAGGATGCTGGATGGAGGTTGGAATTATCACACTGTAATCCACTGCTGATTCAACTGGGTGACTGCATCCTGGGTCCTAGCCACACTCAACAGGCCCTTTTTCAAAAACGGAAAGATCTCGACTTTGAAAACAGGCCGACTGAGCACAGCTGGGACCTGGGATGCAGTCACCCAGTGGAATCAGTGGCGGATTACAGTGCGATAATTCCCACCTCCATCCAGCATCCTGGCTGCATCCCATTGGTGTGCAGAGTCCCTTAGTTGCAATTGTGACACTATTGCCACAGTCATAGTTCTCCCTCAAGCTACTTTCTTGGGCACCAGCTGCATTGGAAGAAGGTGATTCATTCTAATGACAACTGGAACAGATATGAATGATATTTCTACTTTATTTTGGGAGTCTGGCCAGGAGAATATACTTAACTAAAACACTGGTGCATAATATTGGCCTTTATTTCTATGGACAATAATTTCTGTTAGCACTTTGGGATGTATGAATATCAGGTGAAAACTCTGCATAAATATTTGCTTTTTCCTCCTCCCCTCCAGTAGTGAGTATCCTAATATAAAACAGACAATGATTTATATTTCTAGTTATTAGCTGCTTTGGGTGCATCTGACACTATTTCCTCACCCACTCCCCCAAAATAGCGATAAAGTCTGCTATCACCTGCTTTTCTCTTTTACAGATGGCTGAAGCACTCTCCGAGGTGGCCATCCTACCTGCTTTTCACAGTGTTATTAGGACATGCTGATGGTAGACAGCTTATTTTCTAGATCATTACGTTTTACTGTTCTGCAACAAGTATGATAATTATTTTCTTTTCAGTGGGATTTGTTTCTATCCTTTCAACTCCTTCATAAATCAAATGCTGGCTTTGTTATACAAGCTGGATATTTATATCTACCCACTAGCTCAAAATAAACATTTTTATCTTAAAGTGTGAAAGAAATAATTAAATTTTTTAATGATCTAATATCAGCAATTTGCTTAGTCAGATTTCCATGAAAATGAAAGCTGGTTTGAAACCTAAACATAATTATTTTATAATACAAAACAGAATCTCTCCATTTTTAGTAAAACAACTATTTCATCTACTCTCTACTAAATGCTGATGTTTGCAGAATCACTTCGTAAATATTTATCTATGGGAAATATCCCTTTAGAAAAAAAAGGCAAGAAGGAATTAGTAGTTCTTATTTTAATTCTTAACAGCTCATTGAAAAATGAAGAGAAATAAAATGGAAATTATCACTTACATTGTTTCCCCTTCAATAAGTTCTAGAGTAAAGATTTATTTTTGATACTGCAATGGGACCAGGAAGTTTACATACATGATGGGGATGGTCAATTCTACACTGCTATTGGTATCATGAATGTGGTAAATCCAATAATATCAAAAAGCCACCAAACAGTGATACCTTTATTGGCTAACCAAAATGCACAATATACATGTTGCAAGCTTTTGAAGGCTCACTGGCTTCTTCATCAGCAAGGTGTTAAAAACCAAACAAGAAAAAGAAGTTGCACCGGCACAAAGGACATGAGACACCTCTTTTTGGGTTTAAACAGGCCACAACTTTTATTTTTGCTGTACAGGGTCTATTTACAAAGATTTACTATTAAACACCCAACACTTTATCACATGTGCATGTGAAGGTGTAACCAACCCAGGTGGGTGGTCCTTCACAACATGTGATATAGTAGGTAAGTAAATATCAACAACTAAATTACAAACCCTTCCCATCAGAAATGACATCACATTATGTCATATGACGCCATTGCTTAATGACGTTATGCACTTAGCTGCATGCATCACTTCTGTTAATTTAACTTTTTGCCAAATTTACCCCAATTAAATTTAATTAGCCAATTAATTTCCCTGTGAAGTGGGGGTCGTTACCCACCCCATTACAATTACAACCAGATTCTCAAATTTAGACCCTAAGCCCTTAAGTTGTGACAAAGCTAGTGGTGATATAAACAAACCAAAACAAGT